GCAGGTGACAAATTATACGATGAATAACATTTCATGTTTTGCAAACAAAGTTCTTGCCATTTTTTTGTTTTGTAAAGAAAGTTGTTGCCGTTTTTTCTTTTCTAAACAAAGTTCTTGCCATATCATGTTTTTTAAAGAAAGTCCTTGCTATGTTTCTTTTTATTATATTTACGCTTTGACCTTTTGACTTTCTTTAAGCCTTTGAGCTGCTTCTTATTTTGATGTAATGATATAGCATGATGTAGTTAAGCCATTTCTTGCAATTCTTTTTTTAGTTTCAAGTGTTTATGGGCTTAAAATTTTATTTGTGGTGCATTCTATGAACTTTTTGACCTCGAACTTTATTTTTTTTTGATATTTTATGAAGTTTTCGTCCAAAAAGTTTCCCTACTTTTGTGATTCTATGAACTTTTGGACCAACAATTTTATTTCTTTTTAGTTTTTTCTATGAACTTTTTGACCAAAAAAGATTATTCTCGTGCCATTTTTAACCCGATATCAACTTTTTTTTACTGTACCTTAACTCGGACAGAAGCCTCATTCATGCTAAACAAACAGTTAATTGCTACTTGCAAAGGGATGACGCCAAACAATAAAAGTGAGGACAACACTAATTAGCATCGGTGTATGAGTATTATTAGGTTTAGCATAGATACTGCTTCTAGAACAGCGAAGGGTAATTAGACATAGTAGACTAATAGTTATGGCTTATCTTATACAATTAGAGATAAGATTTCAATTAACACTATAGTTAAGAGGGGGGGGGGTGAATTTAGGAAGGGGTAGTTTTAGACATTATTACCTAAAGTAGGGCACGGTAGACCAGAAACGGGACCGGACCCAATTTTTTGAATTAGACGGACCCAATTTTTTAGTTCGGGGGTCGGTTATGTTAAGGCAGGATAGAGTAGAGTAGGACACGGTAAAATAATTTAAAGTAGGATAGAGTGCTAGGGTGGGTAGGGTAGAGTAGAACATTTTAAGGCAAGGCTGGCAGGGTAGAACAGAGCAAGGCAAGGAAATACGGAGCAGGGCAAGGCGGGGCATTTCCTTTTATAATTTCTTAGTAAGACTTATCTATACAGTAATGTAAACTTTGAAGGTCAGCTCGCTTGGTCGATAAACAAAAGAACTAAAAAAATGTGTTTATAAGTCTGACTGGTCTCTTCTAATAAATATTTTTTATAATTTTAGTTGTTCTTAGATTTTGTCATGCAGCCTGCGGGTCACAAGTTATACGATGAATTATATTTTTCTAAGATTTTGCCATTTTCTGTGTTGGAAAGGAAGTTCTTGCTATTTTTTGTTTTATAAAGAAAGTTGTTGTCGATTCTTGTATTGTAAAGAAATTTTTTGCCATTTTTTGTTTGTAAAGAAAGTTTTAGCTATTTTTTGTTTTGTAAATAAAGTTCTTGCTGTTTTTTGCTTTGTAAAAAAAGTTCTTTCTATTTTTGGCTTTGTAAAGAAAGTTCTTGCCATTTTATATTTTAATTTTTGTATTTTTACGGTGTTAAAAAAAAGTCTTGTCGCTTATTAACATTACCTTTCAGCTCTAAAAACGACAAGACTTTTTTGATTTTGTATAGAAGAGGCCTTTGAATGGTGTAGGGGATCGAAGGGTTGATCTGGGGTAGGGAATGGTTAGAAATGGGTAAGGGTGAGGTAAAACAAGGTTTGAGCTAGATAATAGTAAAGTACTGCAAGAGTAAGACGGGACAATATTTATTTTTAAAACCCATGCCCTAGCTCAAAACCTTTTGCAAACTTCAGCACAAGTACCATTTACGTATGTATCTTGATGTAGTCAGTGTTTGCAAACTATTGCCACACTTAAACAGTTTGCATACATCAATTTTATCAGTTGTAAACACGGCTGACGCACTTACCTTCAACTGGATTAGTAAGTGGGTCCGCCCAGTTTAATATATTCTGTTCAAATAATGGCCACGGTTATGTACTTGTAACACATTTACTGCGCCGTTTCGTCTATGTTTTATGACTTTATACGTTTAATCTGTTAGTTTTGATTTCTGGGCGTAGTATGGTGTGGTATATTGGGTATGTGGAAGAGTATTGTATTGGATATAGGGGAAGGTATATTACTTTAGGTAACACTTTGGGTAGGGGCTTTGGTATGCTTTGAGCAAGAAAAGGTGGGGCAGGGTAGGGTAGGGTAGGGTAAAGTAGGGTAGGGTAGGGTAGGGTAGGGTGGGTAGGGTAGGGTAGGGTAGGGTAGGGTAAGGTAGGGTAGGGTAGGGTAGGGTAGGGTAAGGTAGGGTAGGGTAGGGTAGGGTAGGGTAGGGTAAGGTAGGGTAGGGTAGGGTAGGGTAGGGTAGGGTAGGGTAGGGTAGGGTAGGGTAGGGTAGGGTAGGGTAGGGTAGGGTAGGGTAGGCTCTATTCTTAGCCACTGTTGCCATGGCCGTATAATAAAGTAAATTGCGTGGTACGTTGTCACATGTTATCACTGTAACCATGTACTTTGCATTATGACTGTAAATTGTGGTATTGTAAGTACAGATAATAATATGGTTCACACATTACATAGGATTATTACAGTAAAAAAGTCTAATACTTAGAATTGATGACTTAGTATTGTGAGATATGATTAGTATTGTTAAGGTTAGTATACGTTATGTTGGGTTTCTTATGTTTTACTTATTATAGTCACTGTAATTGAGCCTCATCTACTCTGGTCTACTTTGTCTTACTCTACCCTACCATATGCTACTTTGATTTACTCTACCCGATTTTACCCTACCCTACTTTACCCTACTTTACTCTTCCCTAGCCTACTCTACCCTACTCTACCCTACTTTACGTTTTTCTACCTCACCATACCCTGGCCTGTCAACTTATTCTTCTCCCTCTTCTGTTACCGAACTTTAAGTTTCTATTTACCAGGCCTTGTCATATTGAAAGTTAGGGTCCCAAAGATTAACTATGTCCAAACGTGTCAAGTTTGGGCAGCTGTCCGGAATGTAATGTATAAATTTTTCAAGGCTCTTGTAGGAAGTAAATGTCAGGCGGTTAGGCTAGTAGTAGAAAAGAAATGGTGGGGTAGAAAAGTTTTCATTCACGAGGGGAGGGGTGGTCTTCAATTAAAAAAAAAGTTTGTGAGCACCCGCCTTTCTTTATTACCTTATTTTACCTTCATCAGTATACCTATAAGTGTAAAATACGCTTTGTTGAGAAGGTCTATATAACCTAGTGAGTATTTTTCAAATCATATTATTGTTACTACAATGGAATGACTTTAAACGAAACCTTATTGTCCTCAAACTTCTTTTTTGTCGTCCTTCGTATTAATGAAACGGCATTTGTCTGGCAATATTTGGACCTATCTAGTGCAAGTTATGACAATAAAAGCAATCAGACGGCAAAAACTTTTTTATCTTTGTAATATTGACTTTGTTATAGTTAGCATAGAAATAAGGCTAGATACTAGAAACAAAACTTTTAAAATGGCTAGGGTACGTACGATTAGGATAAGACCTAATTGAAGGGAGAAGAGAGATAGAGTAAGGCACGGTAAGAGCAAAGGTAGGAGAGGCTACGATGAGGCACAGAGCCTAGGCGAGCGCTTAAGCAAGTGCTAGAGATGAGGCTAGGGCTTGGCTTAGGTTAGGACTTTACCCGATACTACCCTATCTTACTCTATGGCTTAGAACTAGGGTAAAGCTAAGGCTAGGACTGGGGTTAGAGGTTCGGCTAGGGCTAAGGACTGGGGATATGCTAGGAGTATCATAACTTGCCCTATGGCTTAGAACTAGAGCTAAAGCTACGGCTGGGACTAGGGCAAGAGCTAGAGCGAGGGTTAGAGCAAGGGCAAGGGCTAAAGTTAAGGCTTGGCTTAGACTAGAGCTAGGACTAGGATTCTATTATATAGTACCCTACCTTACTCCTGGCTTAGGACAAGGGTTGAAACTTACATTTTTTGGTATGCTAGGACTGGTACTAGGGATTAGGCGAGTTCTTCTCTAACGATTAGTGTTAAGACTAAAGCTCGGGCTGGGGCTAAGACTCTAACCTATACTACCCTACCTTGCCCTATATTACCCTATGGCCCAGACCTAGAGCTAAAGTTAGGGATGAGGCTAGGACTGCTAAATCTATTGTAAAAGCAGTTCTTTCATACCTACCACCTACAGCTATTGTCATCAAATTTCGCGAAATCCTCTAAGCCGAACTCCTTCCCAATTCATCAAAAATTCTTCAGAATCCAACCGACGTACTCTTGGTTTCCGACGCCTTTCTCAATGTTATTGTTGACACATGTAAAAGTAACTTGAATATTATAGGGCGGTATAGTTGTTATGGGGCTAATCAACAAGTCACTTTTCATATTATCGGTATAATGTTTGGTTAACCAATTTGTTGTTTTTTGGCTACTTTTCAATGGAATAGGTGGCATTGTAGAGAATTTGCAACGGGCGTGTAACTTTTGGTGAAAGGGGAAAAATGATAGGTATTTTTTGTGCTCTGTAAAAAAAGTTGTTGTCGATTCTTGTATTGTAAAGAAAGTTTTTGCCATTTTTTGTTTGTAAAGAAAGTTTTAGCTATTTTTTGTTTTGTAAATAAAGTTATTGCCATTTTTTGTTTTGTAAAACAATGTTTTTGCCATTTTTTGGTATGTAAAGAAAGTTCTTGCCATTTTTTCGTTTTTTTTTTATTTCCAACAATTTTCTTGACATTTCGTCTCAAAAAGCATAAATCCAATACATTTTGTGACATTACGTCTATTAAAATAAAGACTTTTTGGGCCTAAGTTCAGAGATAGTATCTTTTCAACGTTTTGTGAAATTTATTTAGACACTAATAATTTTGTTGACATTTCGTCTCATAAGACAAAAAAATCAATAAATTTTGTGACATTTCGTTAAATTGTCAAAAAAAATTTTTTTTTAATTAAAAAATGTAAAAAATTTTATTTTGACAATGTTTTAACATATTGTTACCGTGGTATACTGTAATTTATAATTATTTTATTATTGTTTTCCAGAATGACATTATTCACGGCGGCGGTGGTAGGGGAGCCCTTCCAACTGCCCAACTGTACCTGTCGAATAGCTCACGATGATATGAATCTCTTCAATGCCATCACAATCATCGGTGTTCTACCAGTCCTGGCCTCAATTGGGCTAGCCTCAAACATGGTTAACACCTGGGTATATCAACGTGGAACGACGTCGGCCGAACGTTACCTGATGGCGTTGTCGTTGAGTGACTTTGGCGTCTGTGCCAGTGGAATTTTAGTGATTGCGGCCGACTCCCTGAGGGCACACAACTTTTACATCGACCAGATTTTTGTGATTTTACTACCAAAACTAATCCCATTTGGACTGTTCTTCCAGATGACGAGTATTTATGTTACGGTGGCGGCGGCTGTCGATTGTTATGTTGCGGTTTGTCGGTAAGATTTTTAAAAGTTTCTTCAATTTGCGCTAGCCTTTCACTAGGGTTAATTCAAACTTTCTTTAGACTGGAGCGGATTTAAAGTCTAGGGCGGGGTTTATAAGGCTTGGCTGAACTTTTAAGGCTAGAGTGGATTTTTTAGTTTAGGACGGATTTTAAGTCTATGGTGGGTTTTTAAGGCTTGGGTGAATTTTTTAGGATAGAGGGGATTTTTTAGGCTAGGGTGGATTTTTTAGGATAGAGGGGATTTTCAGGCTAGGGTGGATTTTTTAGGCCAGGGTTGATTTTTTAAGGTTCGGGTGAATTTTTTAAGGCTTGGGTGGGTTTTTGTAAGCTAGGGTGGGTTTTTTAGGCTAGGTTATGATTTTCTTGAGCTAGGGTAGAGTTCTTAAGATTAGGTTGGGTTTTTAAGGCTAGGGCAGAGTTTTTTTAGCATATGGTGAATTTTTCAAGGCTAGGATTGATTATTTAAAACCAAAGTGTATTTTTAAGGCTAGGGTATTTTTTAAGGCTAGGATATATTTTTTCAAAGTGGGCGAGATTTTTAAAGCTAGAGTAACATTTTGTAGTCTAGGGTGGATTTTTGAGGCTAGTTTAGATTTTTTTCATATTAGGGGAGATTGTTAAGACTACGGTGGATTTGTCTAGCATGTATTTGTTAAGACAAGGGTGGATCTTTTTAGAATAGAAGATTTTTTTAGGCCAGGGTAGATTTCAAGGAAAAAAGTAAGTGCAGGGGTAGGACAAGGACTAACGTTAGAGCTACGGCTTGGGCTAAGGCTGCGCTAGGACAAGGACCCGCGTTAGTGCCAAGGTTAGGATTTGCAGTGCAAAAAATAAGCTGCTTTTTTAAAATTCAAACGTTTTTTAAATTTATATAAGTTTATTCACTATGCGTATTTTACCTTCTCTTCTCCTTTCAGGCCATGTGTTTGCTTTCCAAACAAGTTTCGTCGCTACTGCTCAATCGAAAATGCCAACAAAATCCTGACTTTTGTCATAATATCGACCGCTCTCTACAATATCATCCAATTCGGCGAGCTCGAAGCCGTACGATGCTACTCAGTAGCCATGGACATACCCCTCTACGAGCTCTGTCCCACTGCTATGCGGCTTAACATGGAGTATATTACGATTTACCGTGGTTATATGTACACAATATCGATGGCATTCTTCCCCTTTGCTGCACTATCAGTACTAACGGTACTAATAATGTGCGAAATGCATCGTCGCAAGGATTCGGTAGCTCATGAGGTTCAAGTCGAGACATATAAGGAGTTCACTGAGATCCCAGAAGATTCTGTGCACGATGCTGGTAGCCCGGTGGTGCTGGTACTGGTGGTGGTACTGAATTTGGGATGCAGTTTCATCAGCTTGCTGGTCAATGTGTGCGACATGTTTGAGGGGTAAGAAATTTCTTTACAAAACGAAAAATAGTAAGAACTTTCTTTACAAACTTAGAAATGGCAAGAAGTTTCTTTCCAAAACAAAAAATTGCAAGAACTTTCTTTACAAACTCATAAATCGCGACTTTCTTTACAAGTGAAAAAATGGCAAGAACTTTCTTTACAAAGCAAAAAATGGCAAGAAATTTGTTTACAAAGCATGAAATGACAATAACTTTCTTTCCAAAACAATAAACTTTCAAAAACAACATCAAATCTCATTGGATTTACATTAACCTTGAAGTATATGCCTAAGTATATGAATATTAATGTATATTAATGTCAATTCCTTTCAGAGCCCTAACTCATGACGTTCAGATGGCATTAATAGACATTGGTAACCTATTAGTCGTGTTCAATGCCACAGCCAACTTTATCATCTACGCCGCCACTTCACCAACATATAGAAGTAGAGTGAAGCAACTCTTCTGTGTACCATCAAGACTACCTACCAAGACTCCGGTTTAGCTAACATAACTTATTAGTCTGGACTAGGCTTGGTGTTTTATATTGCTTTAGGGTAAATTTCCTTTAACTGAGATGCCATTTCATATTGACCATTTTCTTTGTTGTCACTTCCCTCCATACCCATACATAATATTGCTATACCGTCCACAATAACATGTCCTCTTACATACAGCAAAAGAACCCCAAAGCCTACTATAATATATACAAACACCCCATCCACAAGTGCCATTAATCAAAATTAATACGTGCTCACCTCAATACTGGTATCTCATGTTGTCTTTTTAAGATTTTTTAAAATTTGAACATAGTGGAACTCTGTATAAAGAACTCCTCTACAAAGAAGAATAAAACATTATTATACTTATTGAAGGTTAATATGATTTTTTAAATAAAATGTACAAAAATCATCAATTCCAGTTGAAAATCAACTGGTATGAATAGCTAGATAACAGTTATTTATAATAGGATAAGACCAGGCTGCAACGGTCTTAAGACTAAGGCATGAGTTAGTTAGTTGGTAGGGCTTTGGTAAAGCTAGATTAAGGCTAGGCCATACCCAAGTCCAGGCAAAGTTAAGGTCAGAATAGAAGATGGCTAAAGCAGAGACCCGGTTAAGATAGGGTAGGGCTTTGGTAAAGATAGAGTAATGCTATAAAAAGGCTAAGATCAAGATCGAGCAGTAACATTGTGTCGCTAGGGGAAAGGAGTGAGGTACATGTGGGTGAATCAACCTCCACCCAGAGCAGATCCGGAAACAATGTGAAAAACTAAGAATTTTCTTCTAAAATGGATGTGCAGGCCTCTCTGCAACTCTGAACCAAAAAAAATTTAAACCCCCCCCCCCTTCCCTCTCCGAGAAAAAATCAGTCGCGACCTCTCTCGGACCAAGCAAGGGCACGGTAGGGCTCGAATAGAAGTAAACCATGTACCAAAAAATCTACATCTAAAAGCCCCACGGGCCGGGGCTTGGTCTGGGTTCAGCCACATTTGCCAATCCGCTTCCTTTAAACATTGCTTTGGCCTGATCCAGCCCGAAGAGCCTAATGAGTCTCCGTTTCAAGCCTAGTCTAAATAATACATTTTTAAAACTAATAAAATAAAAAACCATGCCTTAAAATACATTTCCATTCAAAATTTAAACAAAGTTTCAAAATATTTAATAAGTGACATGTTATAAAACTAAAAACATCAATATTCAAGTTTAAAAAACAACCCGAGATCATATTATCCTTCACATCTTATAAATTTTGTCCTGTTCATCCCTTACATTTGTCCTACCCATCTATTATCATGGTACATAACTAAATATGAAACAAAACTGTCCTCCTCCTTTGACCCATCACCATGTCGTCCTCCATTTCACATCTCATAGAACTTATCCAAGACTTCGCGTCGTTCGGCCATATCGGACCGAGCCTTTTCCCTCAGCCAAAAGATAGGACAGTCCGAGCTGGCACAGACCACTTCGTTCGTGAAATCGTTGGCACAGTTTTGGCATTCCGTCCACAGTCGGGAGTACTTGTGTTCGGCGATCTTGAGTTGATTCACCTTTTCCGCGTAGATGTTGCCGATCTTGGGTTGACAATGTTGACATAGCGGAGACTTAGCACCGACTTGAATAGTTGATTTACAGGCGATACAGGTCTCCACCTTCTTGAAGAACATTCCAATACCGCTCTTCGAGGCGGCGTGGGCTTTCACTCGGGCGTGGTCGCCTTCTGAAATTTTTATTTTAATTTTTTTGGGCTGTAAAGAAAGTTTTTGCAGCTTTTCAATTTATAAAGAAAGTTCTGGGCATTTTTCGCCTCGTAAAGAAAGTTATTGCTATTATAAGTTCTGTAAAGAAAGTCCTTGCCATTTTATGTTTTGGAAAGAAAGTTTCTGCCATTTTTAAGCGCAAAACATCAAAATATTGTGTAATGCAGCCTGCGAGTGACAAGTTATACGATAGTTGGCCTTTTTGAGTTCGTATTTTACATTTTATGTTTTGTAAACAAAGTTTTTCCAATTTTTCGCTTTGTAAAGAAAGTCCTTGCCATGTTTTGCACTGTAAACAAAGTTTTTGCCATTTTAAGTTATGTAAAGAAACTTCTTGCTATTCTAAGTTCTGTAAAGAAAGTTCTTGCCATTTCAAACCTTACAAAAAAATTTCTCTTCATTTCCTCTGCTGAAAACAAAATTCTTGCCAAAACCTACTCAACAAAATGTCCTTGGCCTTGTTATTAGTCAGTGGATCCAGCAGCCTCACCAATGGGTTCAATAGCTGATTTTCAAGGTAATACTTAGTATCTAATGGCATGTTGTTCTCCAAAGCATATCGTGGGTCTTCTGCCTTCTCATAAGCTGGTACATTGTTGCCTTTGTGCACCATTATGTACGAGATTCGATCGCCGAGTTTTGGTGCTGAGCCTGCATCACGTTTTCGTAGTTTTTCAACCAGTGCAATGTGAGCTGACTTGTTTTTGCTTTTCTGAAAAAAAATTGTTTTTAAAAATGCAAAAAAATCAAAATTTGGTATGGGAAAAAATAAAAAAAAATAGTAGAGGTAAAAGTAGGGTTACAGATAGGAGTAAGTATAAAAGAAAAAGTAGGTGTACGAGTAAAAGTAAAAGTAAGATTAAGGTTAGAAGGGTAGGGTTAAAAGTAAAAAATTAACCCCGCCCACTAAATTTTAATTTCACCACCCCCGTATCAAAATCACCCCGCCCAAAAATAAAAAATTTTCACTTCACCGTCTCCACCTCGAAATCACCCCGCCGAAAAAAGCTATTAAAAATGCTTACGTCTCCAGTTTGAGTGTACTCCTTGGTGATGATTAACATTCCCATATCAATGCGATTGCAAAGTAAGTCGCCAATCACTCTTTTGGCGTATTCTATGGCCGCTGTTGGGTCTCTGGAGAATAAAAAAGTTTAAAAAAAGACTTTTTCCACTCCCAATACCTTACCCTACCCTACCCTTCCATACCATACCCTATCCTAAAATTCCCTACTCTACTTTACCCAACCTTACAAAATCCACAGTGATATACCTTTTTCAATCAATAACTCAAAACATAACCCTATAAAATCACATTAACGTTACCTTTTGATCAATAGCAAGTCCAAACAAGTCTGCATTACACTTCCCACCAGTGAACAATTGTCTCTTCGTACTGTTTCCAAGCCTTTCGTATCAACTTTGTCATGTTTTTCTGGCCGAGTGAAGTACAAACCAGCATACCGCTTCTTGGCCATTAGTAAGTATGGGCAGTAAACCTGAAAACATTGTTTTAGTAGCGATAAAGTAAGGCTAGAACTAAGAGTCGGCGTCAAGTTAAAGATAAAGATAGTAGAAGTAAAGGTAGGGGTAAGAATAGAAGTGAGGGTAAGGCTCAATGTAAATAGCACTGGAGTACACATAGTATTATGGGTAGAAGTAGCGGTAAAGTAGAAGCTGCTGTAGGTAATGTCATACCTTTTCAAACTCCAGCTTGATCGGAGCTTTGAATTCCTTTGAGATGAGTTCGGCCGCGTGTTTCCCCAATTGCATAGCTTCTGAAATCTCTGTACATCCAAACTCCACCATGACTGAATCCGTGTCTCCGTAAATGACTCGGGCTGTTCCTGGAGCTCCATATTGGCCGTTCTTGTATGTGGCTAAAAATTACTTTTAAATTTAAAAATTTTAACTTATTTTAAAATTAAAAAACATTTTTTAAACTAAAAAGGATTTATAAGCTTAAAAATATTTTTTAGGCTTAAAAGTCATGTTTAGGCTTAAAAATACTTTTTTTCGGCTGAAAAGTCATTTTTCGACTTAAAAGTCGTTTTTAGGCTTAAAAATCGTTTTTAAGCTTAAAAATATTTTTTCGGTTTGAAAAGTCAGTTTTAGGCTCAAAATGTCATTTTTAGGCTTAAAAGTCATATTTAGGCATAAAAATCACTCTAAAAACTCAACTAACCCTTAAAATCAAAGTTGTTCAAATAATGATGTGCCCCTTCTCAAATCCAACTTTCAGAATTAAAGGGCACAAAATTATTTGAATAACCTAATAAGACCTTTAGCTTTGCCAACCCTTAACTTACCTTCCACACACTCCTTTGTTTTCTCAATCATTTCCCTTCCGAACGACGTGACACTCTCTGAGATCTCCACGCACGGTAGCTTCCCCACCGTCGCTCCAGTGAATCCATAAACCGAATTGGCAGAGATCTTCAGAGCTAGCTGTCGACCGTTCAGTACCATCTTCTTGAGTGGGTCCGTCGCTTCCTTCAGGTCTTTCTTGGCCTTCTTTCTCGCCCCCAACAGATCCTCCAATATCATTGGCAACAAGCCTTTGCGATGTTTAGTTGTGACAAAAGTGTGATGAGTCGGTGACTCCACATAGTCATCGTCTTTGGCAAAGCCTTTCGGCAAAGGTTTGGCCAAGAGTGTCGTGTAGCAAAGGTTGTGGGCAATCATAATCGATGGGTATAGAGAGGCAAAGTCCAGTGTTGCTATTGGCTGATTGTAGAAACCGGTGATGGGATCGAGTACGGTGGCTCCTTCATAACCTTCTGATGGTCCTCCGCCGCCTGATTTTTCGATTACCGGTATGAAATAGCCCGTAGTTTTAGTCTGCAATGGCAGAAAAATTTATAAATTTGAATTTTTCGAATCTTCACAAAATAGAGGTAGAAGCAAGGGTCGAGTTACAGTTAGAAATGGCAGAAAAGCTAATAAACTTCAAAGAAAAAACCCCAAAAATCAAAAATTTTGACCAAAATTTGCGATTTTAAAAAATTTTTTTTTCAATTTCCAATGAACACATAACGTAATGCATAAAACGTAGTATTTACAAGACCTATGTACCAATTGTTCCAAAAATATTTTTGAAATTTCAAAAATTCGACTTTTACCTAATGATATGCCTAAACCAAAATTAAAAAAAACTAATTTTCCTGAATTCCAATTCAAGTTTAAACTCAAAAAGTAAAATACAATGATTTTTACGCCATTTAAATGTGTCACAATTTCTGTCCATATTGCCTCAACTTTATCGACAATATGGTTATCGTTTGTGAGCTGGTATGATATTGGGAAGACAAGTAACTGGAATTCAATTCCTTTTCGAATACCAGTGTATCTAGTTTCCAAAATTGGCTATTTAGCTTTCGAAAAGGTACTGCAAAGCTGAATTTTTCAAATATCAAAAAAAAATTTTTTTTTCCAAAAAATATTGAACTTGGTCCCCCCTGTGGACTAAGTTTTTACTCCAACTCTTACTCCTGTCCCTACACTATCCTACCCTACACTACGTCACCCTACCTTACCCTAACTTATTCTGCTCTATCCTATCCTACCCTACTTTACCCTGCCCTACTCTACCCTACACATCCAGCCATTCCCTACCCTACCCTAAACCAAACCACTAAAAATCCTCTTCAAAAACCACTGTAAACCTACTTTTCTGAGCAATTGTGACAAGATTTTGACCTGTTGTCCTCGTTCGATTAGGAAATTCAATGGGACTCCAGTTACTCTGGCCATTTCAATGTAGTTAATGAGTAACATCAGCTTTTCAATCAACTTCAGTGGGAGGTAGGCATCTTTTAGGCAATACACTGCCAGTCTTCTTCTGTCTTGGTCTGTGCCTTGCTGAAAAATGACCAAATTTTTTATAAAAAAGCCAAATATTACCTAATTTTAAAGAAGAAAAGCCGAAAACCATCTAATTTTAACAATAAATACCCAATATCTGACCAAAAATTGATTAAAACAGCAAAAAATAAAGAATTAAAACAACAACTAAGCGTATTTAACACAAAAATCACTATTAAATTACCATAACATCCCATAAAGCCAAAAATTTATAACTAAAAACCTCAAAAATTAAAAAAATATTAACCTACATGAAGTCCAGTGATCATTTGATATGGTACATCTTCTTTTTGCTCTCCTAAAAAGTTATAACTAACATTGTTCAGGGTGTAACTTCTCAGCTTGTACTCTCGAGTTATTACCTAAAAATACAATTTCAAATAGCAAAAACTTTCTTTACAACGCAATAAATTACAAAAACTTTCTTTACAAAGTCAAAAATTACAAAAACTTTATTTCCAAATAAAAAAAAACAAAAAATTTCATTACCTACCCTAAACACATCAAAGACCATTCGCCCCTCCAAAGTGATAACCTTATTGACTCTAGTACCCATTTGAGCCGATGATACTGTATTTTCCTTCACTTTTGCCAAAACCCCTTTCAGCCTTCCTAATCCAGCCACATCCTTGTTAATGTTCAAGGCTTTGGCACGGTCCAAAATGTAAGGGAAGTCAAAATTTTGCACATTGTAGCCGGTCACCACGTCTGGATCAATCTTACAAAAGTAGTCGGTGAATCTGAAAAATAACCGTACACATAAAGTAGGGTAAAATAGTATGAGGTGGAGTAAGGTAATATAGGGTAAGGTAGAATAAGGTAGACCAGGATAGAGTAAGGTAGGATAAAGCAAGGAAATGTAATGTAGGATATTCGAGGCCAGAGAAAGACAAAATAATAAATTTAAATGCCATTTGCAAGTCTGAACCCTCATTTTTAAACCTAAAGGCTCTCTTCATAAGCCTAAAATATAATGCTTAAGCCTAAATGCCATTTTAACGTATAATATGTCATTTTAAAGCATAAAAGCCACTCATAAGCCTAAAATTAAAATTTTAAGCCTAACGCCTCGTTTTTAGGAGTAAAATGTCACTTTTAAGCCAAAACGCAAAAAAAATCATTTTAACCCTAAAATATCATTTTTAAACCTAAAATATATTCTTAAGCCTAAAATGCTATTTTTAAGCCTGAAACGCAATTTTTAAGAATATAATTAAATTTTTAAGCCTAAAATGCCCTTTCAAGTCTAAACTCTCATTTTTAATCCTAAAGATCATTTCTAAGCCTGTAGACCATTTTAAACCTAAACTCAAGTAAGTCTAAAAAGAAAATTTTAAAGCACGAAAGTCAATTTTAACACTTCAAGCTTTTGATTTAACAGAAGAATAGGTTATTCGAAATTTAACACCCCACCCCTCCATTAAATCGTAACACAAAAAACCTACTTCTTCAACAACTCCTCCTCCTTCTTACAACAGACAATGTCACTTCCTTTGACTGGATTACATCCTCCCAACACAAAACAAATCCTCGAGAACGGCTCGGCCTCTCCTTCAGTTTTACAAACACAAGCGATTTGAATCACCGGATCTTGTTTGGCTTCGGGAAAGACGCCAGGTCGGCCAGCTACTTCAATATCAAAGCTCAACGTTCTTAACGGCGCTATACCGTCCCATGGATCTTCAGCTGGATGTACTACAAGATCTTTGATATCGGTTTGAGCTTCAATCTGGCAAATTGTTTCTCGATGGTTGTTATCGATGGTCTGGTATTTCTTCGCTATCACTTGGATCCAGCAACAACCAACCATGTTCAGGTCGGCCATAAATCGTGTTTCAAAATCGATATTAGCTTCAAAACAGGTCAAATGAGCAGACATTGATGCATTATAGGCCGTTTTACCTAAAACAACTTTAAATTAAAGCTATTTCTTGACATTTATGCTCTTTAAAGAAAGTTATTGCCATTTTGTGCCTTGTAAAGAATGATATTGCCATTTTATGTTTTATAAACAAAATTCTTGCCACTTTTATCTCTGTAAACAAAGTTCTCGCCTTTTTCCCCATAAAAGTCAAATTAGAGTTTCGCAGCCTGCGCGAGCCATGTTATACGATAAAAAAAGAAATACCTTATGTTATATAAGATAAGAATGAAGTAACTTACAAGCAGTAATAACCTTCGGTGAAACCACGTTGATCTTTAATATTGTCTGGTCGTCCTTCTGATAATGCATCAAATTTTTCCCTTTGACCTCTTCTATACTCAAAACAAATCTTGTCGTTCCTGGTGGTGCATACTGCTTTCGTTGTCCTTCTGGCAGTTGCTGAAAAATATCGAGAATTCCGTATTTTACAATTAACCAAACCTACTCGAAAAAGACTTATATTCCTCGTTTTTTAGCTAAACTGAAGAAAAAACCAAATTCGATATTATAGTAGATATCAAAGCTTAAATCAACAGAAACAAGCTCCAGTATAGCTTAACAGTTTCAAAATAAACCTAAAAGACAGAGAATATAATAAAGTAACTCACTAATAACCTTTCGTTCAAAGCATCTACATACCGACCAATGTTTTCGGTCTTATGATTCTTCGGAGCTTCCATATAAAGATAAGGAACATACGTTTTGGCTGATGCACAAATCGAATGCCCATCTTTTGTGGTTCCAAACAGTCGAATACGTACTCCAAATTCTTCTGAAACATATTTTTAGAAAATTTTGTTAAACAAACCGATGGAAGAGATAAAACAAGAGCATTACAGATAAAACAACATCAATAAACCTTGAAAAAGCCCTTCAAACCCTTTAAAAGTCTAAGTATATCCAAACAAAGTCATAATCAACCTTCTAGAAGCAGTACCACAATCTGAACATCAAAAACAATAACGAAAACCCTCTTACCTTGAATATAATCCACATCAATCAACTGAAAAGCAATGTCGACTGACTGCTCCAACAAAATGTCGTCTGGTACCGCTGTTCTGCCATATTTTGTAGCCATTTTACAAGGTATTATCGTCAGAAACGGATTTTTCCATCTATTTTTCCTTCCACAAAATGTTTTTGGCGCGCTTTATACCATGAAGCCAACAAGTTTTTGCTAATGTTTGTTTTCGTGGTGGGACCGATTAAATATTACAATGCTTTATGATTTTGAGGAATAAACTGTGAAATTTGAAGTAAATATGTATGTTCGCAACTGATGTAAGTTCACTTTTGTTCAATTTTTACATTTGAAAATCAATTTTTTGCTTTAAACTTAAAGAAAACTTGAGGAATCGCTCAAGGGCATGAATTACATGATCGGAAGAAAACGACTTCAAGGTCGGAGGGTACTTTCCCTCGTTTTTTGCCCTCAAGACACCGAAAAAAAGACCTTTTTCATTGTGGTTTATCCACAATGAAAATGAAGCCAAGGTCGACGAAAACCATTCGACAGTTTCACTAATACAAAACCACATCGTGCCAGCGCTACGACGTTGTACAACATCATTCAACTTTTATTGAAAGGAAATGAGTGTTTTTACTTGTAGGATTGTTTTTGCTTAGTTTTTTTGAGATAAAAGAGGGTTTTTTAATTGATATAATTTTAACTTATTTTTTCCAAAAATTGTTTAAGCAAATTGAACCTATGTTAATATAGTCATAACTTCTTTAAATAAGCAGCTAGAAATTTGAAAGTTTGCTGAATTATATGCTGTTTCATATGAAATTTAATTGTTGAATTAAAATTTTAAATCTCAATGTATTTAAAAAGCTACAGTAATTTTACCGTACTCAACCTTCTCACAAAACTAGCTAAGATTTTAAAAACTTTTCATTACAAAACTAAAGTTGAGGTTATACGTTGTATAACAAATCACAAAATCAATATATTCCACAAGTTTCATATTGACAACTTGATTTACAACATAGTTACATTTATTTAAAAATGTCGAAAATCATAAAAAGTTCGAATCCGGCCAGGAAACTGGGACTTCTTTTGGACTTTGCCTGGCTGTAACTTTTTTATTAAATGGTGTATCTTGACATAACTTTGGGAAATTGTATAACGTTTTATTCTTTACAAACGGCATTATGATATATTTTGTCATAGGTTATTAAAAAGTCTGACAAATTGTGAAAACCAAAAAATTTCGATCTGTGCTGATGAATTTTTACTTTTTTGCTATTTCAAAGGATGTAACTCATGAAACTAATCAACGTATTTTAACAAAACTTCGGTATAATATACATATTTTTATGCTGTACAAAAGCTATAGTTCGGAATTTTAAAAAATTTGCATATTAGCGAGAAATTTGGATTTTTATTTGATTTTACCGTAGACTTGAGGCCCAAAAGCATTTTTTTAAACTTTTGATCAATTTATATTAACTTTATAATAATTTTTTTTAATAATTTTAAGTCGATTTCATTGCTTTAACGCTATTGTGTTATCTATGTTATCCGCAAAATACTTGAGACCAATTAACACTGATCGCGCTGTTTAACTAACCCCATATGTTTACAGTTGTGAATGTTTTTTGTGTTTTTCGTAAACGCACCTCTCGACAACAATAAAGCCCTACTGTTTGCCTTCGAAATTTGGAGGAATTTATTGTGGATTCGTGTTTGTTTTTTTTCGAAAAATACTCAGGGCCACAATAAAAATCGACCCCGTCGGATAAAGTCAACAAACACGCGCATCTGGCAAGGGTATCCCACAAAACAACAACATTCCAGGGCAAAACAACAACTATAAAGGCAGAGGATTGTTGTTGTCGCTGATATTCAATCGCTTTTTCCTGAGGTCGAATTTAAAAGGCCACATGTTTTTTTCGAAAGCACCGTAATTTTATATGAAAGTAGGGTGTGGATAGTCGTTTTTTTAAATGAAGATACAAAAAATGATTGTAGATAGACCTGTAAAAATGCCGATCTGGGGCCCAAACCGAGCAGGGGCCAAGTCAAAGTCAGTGCAAGGTCGGGACAAGGCTGGTCCGGGTCTGTTGGACCTCCTTTGTAGTCTAGTTGTAGGTATAAGTAAAAGATAGAGCAGAGAAGAGTTCGTTCAAGGTAAGGTTGAGGGTAGGGCAGAGTAGAGTAGGTCATGGTACGGTTGAAGGCAGGATTTGAGGATAGAGGAGAGCTAAACTTAACATTGAGAAACAAATTCTTGAGCTTGGGCTTGGGCTTAGGGCATAATAATTTTAGGTTGCGTAGAGTAAATTAAGGTAGGGTAACGTATGTTAGAGTAGAGAAGTTAAGTAGAATAGGATAGGATAGAATAGAGTAGAATAAAGTAAAGTAGAGGAAGGTAAGGCAAGGTAGAGTAGAATAAGGTAGGGTAAGGTATGAAAGCTGGGGTATTGTATCTATATGGGCCCGGGTTACGGTAGGTACTAGAAGTGGGCTTACGATAGTTATTAGAAGTAGGATAGAATAGATAGGGCAAGGTAGGGTAGGGTAGGGTAAGATAGGGTAGGGTAGGGTAGGGTAGGGTAGGGTAGGGTAGGGTAGGGTAGAGTAGGGTAGGGTAGGGTAGGGTAGGGTAGGGTAGGGTAGGGTAGGGTAGGGTAGGGTAGGGTAGGGTAGGGTAGGGTAGGGTAGGGTAGGGTAGGGTATGTGAAATTTGTTTTTTGAATTGTGTTAGTGACTTCAAACCTAATTTTAAGTAAACATATTATACTTCCTATACCTCACATCATTGTCAGTAGTGTCTTTCTCAACCTTCTACCGAGTCATTCGAAATTGGGAAACCCTTGCTCGCACTTTTTTGTCCTTTTCGTTTTTTTTCAGTCGATCAGACACTGAAATTTCGAACGACTGTTTGTTTACAAAAAAAGGCGCAGAGGGCGCGAGGGACGTGAGAGCGCGACGCCCGGAGGCAAAGTAAAAATTTCCCATTGTGATTGGGCCAAGGCCGATCGTTTCAAGAACGTTTTTCAAGTTTTTTCAGCGGGTCGAAAATTCAACTTGAACTTTTATGAATTGCGTCTGGGTTTAGGGTTTGTAGTAGGGAAGGGGGGGGGGTGGGGGTAAGGTTACAACAGTTTTTTTAGGATTTTACTGTAGTTTGGATACGGTAGTGTCTGGTGATGAGGATTAGGCAGTAGGGTATAATAAAGGGAGCTTGGATTATAAGATATGATTTCTTAGGTTTTAGGCTTAAACTCAATTTGTAGGCTTAATTCTTAGGCTTACAATTAGTTTACAGCTTTAAAATAGGATCTTTAGGTTTAAAATCAGTTTGTAAACTTAAAGCAAGAATTTTAGGCTTAAAATCAGTTGTTGGCTTAAAATAGGACTCTTAAGCTTAAAATCAGTTTTTGATGCTTAACATTAGTTTGTAGGTTTAAAGTAGGATTCTTATGCTTAAAATCAGTTTTTAGGCTTAACCTAAGATTTTTAGGCTTAAATTAGGGTTTTTGGCTTAAAATTGGCATTCTTAGGTTTAAAATTAGTTTGTAGGCTTAAAATAAGTGTCTTGGCTTAAAATCGGGTTTTAGGCTTAAAATCAGGCCTGTAGGCTTAAAGTCAGTTTTTAGGCTTAACAGAAATTTGTGGGCTTACAATAAGATTCTTAAGCTTAGAATCCGTTTTTATGCTTAAGGTTAATTTTTAGGCTTTAAATCATTTTGTAGGCTTAAAATAAAGTTTTGATCTGTCTAAAGTCCACCCTTCCTTATGCTTGCTCATTAAGCGGTGTTTTTGTCAAAGACACATTTTTATGCAAATTCGGAACCTGATCCTATGGCCTTTTCACCCTCGAATGGCTTTCCCCTTTCGATCCATCACTTTTCCGGTATGAGTGGGCCTTTTATGAGCCGCTCCGGTTGCGCTGCGGGCATTAATTGTCGCATAAGTTGATGGCTAAGAGGGCCCGATGAAGTTATGGCATTTTACATTGTTTTCGTTTTTTAAGTAAAATTTTTAGACTGACTATAAGTTTTAGGCTTAAAATCAGGGTCTTTTAGGACTGTGATGAGTTTTTTGGCTTGAAAGAGTTTTTTAGGTTTAACATTAGCTTTTAAGCTTAAAGCAGGTTCTTTTAGGCTTGTGATGAGTTTTTAGGCTTAATCTCAATATTTTAGGTTTAACTTTAGCTTTCTAGACATAAAACTTTTTTTTAGGTTTAAATTTTATATTTCAGGCTTAATTTTTGCTTTTTAGGCTTAAAGCCTTTTTAGGCTTAATTTTAATTTTTTAGGCATAATTGTAGCTTTTTAAGCTTAAGACCATTTATTAGGCTTAATTTCAATATTTTAGGCTTAACTTTAGCTTTTTAGGCTTATAGCCGCTTTTTAAGTTTAAAGGCCTTTTTTATGTTTAATTTTAATATTTTAGGCTTAAGTCTAGCTTTTAAGGCTTAAAACCGGTTTTTAGACAATCTTAATATTTTATACTTAACTTTCGTTTTTGATATTTTTTCTATTTTTTTATACCTTTTCATGCCAATTATTTTTTGCTAGACCTTTTATAATGCACTTTCTGATCAAACGGCCCTCGAGTGTCTATGCTCGGCAAACATTCAGGCGCGCTGACCCTTGCGCGCCGAATGCCAAAGTCGTCAAACCTCTGGGACTTGCCTTTGTTTGCAACGCATTAGGGCATAGACAAGATAAAAAATGTAGGTCAACGACGGAAAAAATTGAGTTGAAGATTAGGAGGTTTGATCATGTTGATCATAGTGGTCAGATAACAAGTTTAGCCCAGTCCTAGCCATAGCTCTAGCTTCAGCATTGTCTTCAGCCCTAGCTTCACCCCCAGCTTCAGCCCTAGCTTCAGGTCTAGCTTCATCCCTAGCGTTAGCCTTAGCTTCAGCTCTAGCTTCAGCTTTAGCTTCAGCTCTAGCTTCAGCTCTAGCTTCAACCTTAACCTCAGCCTTAGTCTTAGCCTTAGCTTCAGCCCTAGCTTTAGCTCTAGCTTTGACTCTATCCTTAGCCCAAGCCAAACAGAAATTCCTAGTCCTACCCATACCAACTCACATGAATTTCCAACTACAGGTGCCAAATATATCAAATATATTGATCCAAATAGGTATTAAAGCCGTTTGATGGCTGTGTTACCCAATGGGATTAGCTATAATTACTTTCAAGCGACATGACAGACATTAAACATGTTTAATGACAACCTGGTTTGGCTAGAAATAGCTATCTATAGCTTATATATTTTAAAACTAGATAGGTGTATTAGAAAAAATATATAAATTAAGTCTAAAAGTCGTACTTTAAGCCTAAATATAATTTTTTAAACCTAAAAATCGTGTTTAAGTTTAAAAACAGCTTTGAAGCCTAAGAATCGTTTTTAAGTCTAAATATGACTTTTTAAGCCTAAAACTTAATTTTAAGCCTAAAACTCAATTTTAACCTTAACAATTAATTTTAAGCCTAAAAAATTATTTATAAGCCTAAAAAATTTCTTATAAGCCTAAAAATCAAAATTTTAAACTTAACACTTAAAGGAAAGTGCCCGACCTGCCCCGCTCTGATTGACTTCAAATTTTTTATATAGAAAGATCATTTAAATATAAGATTTTCAGCAAAGTACTAAATCGCGCTTTCCAGGAAATCTCGAGAAAATCGATATTGAAAAATGACATTTTGAATTTCCCGCCAACTTGGCAAATTGGCATTGTGTTTCAAGCTTGTAACTTTGTCATTTTTTGACTGTTAATTAATTTTCTTTAATATACTAGTAGATAACTTTTAAATGAACCTACATTTTTAAATTTATAAGCGTATCTTGTCTGGAAAGCCGAAAAAAGTGCTTGAAACACAATGCCAAATTTGCCAAATAGGCGGGAAACCCAAATAATTTAAAATTAAAACTCAAGAGCGCGAGCTAAAATTTTTAATGGGTACTATTGGTGGTACAAAGAATTTATATAAAAATTTTGAGCTGATTCTGAGCGGGGCAGGTAGGGTACTTTCCTTGTTAATTCTAAGCCAAAAAATCAATTTTAAGCCTAAAAATTAGTTTCTAAGCCTACATGTAAGATTATAAACCTAAAAATTTTTTCTTCTTCTGCCCCCTCCCCCCTTCAAAACTTAAGCCTAAAACACATTAAAAGTAAAAAAAAGTTTTGGCGTTTTTCTTCTTGCAAGATAATGGAACTTGACGACAAAAATTTCGTATAATAGCAGCTTTATAGTACATACTATTTTCTTTAAATGTAGTACTAAGGACCATCCTATAGTACCGCTTTCTACGTTTTTTTAATAACAACAAACAACCTTTTTCAGTTTAATTTATTTTTGCATATTGAATAGGGTACCCTAATGTTTTTTTGCTTTTCAAATAAGAACGATGACACATCTGAACGTTTTCTGTTTTCCATTAAAATTCTGGCGTTGAAATTGCAGTTTGGCACGGTGAAAAGAAAATTCGAAGAGGATTTTTTATTTTAAAAAGAGACTTTTAGGTTTAGGCCTAGGGTGATTAGGTTTACAAAGGTATCGACAATTTTGTCTTAAAAAAGTGTTTTTTGGCTGTTTAGGCTTAACACAAGAATTATTTGTGTTAGATAAATTTTTTGCCTTAAAAGCGTAGTTTTAGGTATGTAATAGGCTTGAAAGACAAATTTTAGGCTTAGATGGCTTGAAAGACAAATTTTAGGCTTAGATTTGATTTTAAGACTTAAAATTTATTTTTTTAAGTTAAAAACGATTTTTAGGCTTAAAAACGATTTTTAGGCTTAAAATTGATTTTTAGGCTTAAAAATGATTTTTTAGGCTTAAAACTGATTTCAGGCTTAAAAACGATTTTTAGGCTTAAAATTGATTTTTAGGCTTAAAACTGATTTTTTTAGGCTTAAAACTGATTTCAGGCTTAAAAACGATTTTTAGGCTTAAATTGATTTTTAAGCTTAAAACTAATTTTTTAGGCTTAATAATACGTTTTTAGCTCTATATCAAAACTTTTTTTTTCAAAAAATTTGCAAATATTTTAATTACAAGCTCATCAATATTACCTAAAAAAAAGGTCTGATCTCATAAATGTCATCAAAAAACGAGAGTTGTATATAGAAAGTCTCCTGCTGTCTCTTTTAATAATGGGAAAGGTCCTTTAGGGGGGGGGGAGGGGGAAATTAAAGATCTGTCGCCGAATTGCCATGCCGAATCGAACATGTGGGTAAGGGGGAAGCTGAAGGACGCGAAGATTGCTTTAGGAAAGGATGTGTGCTAATGGCAAGGTTATCGGAAAAAATATATAAATTAAGCTTAAAGGAAGGTTTTAAGACTAAAAATTTTTTAAGCCTGACAGTATTTTTTTTAGCTTAAAAAGGAATTTTGAGCTTGAAAATCAGTTTTAAGCCTAAACAAACAATTTGAAGCCTAAATACTCAATTTTAACCCTAAACATTATTTTTGAGCGTAAAAATCAATTTTAAGCTAAAACAATCAATTATAAGCCTAAAAATTAATTTTATGCCTAAAAATCGTTTTTAAACCTACAGAAGCAATTTTAAGCCTAAAACTTCAAATTAAGCCTAAAAATTAAATCTTAAGCCTAAAATGTTTTTTAAGCCTAAAAAAATTTACTTTCGATTGTCAACTCCAAAGCCTACTCTTCATCTTCCCTCCCCCCCCTCATTTAAACTGAAAAATGGGTTTTCTCAATGATCAAGTAACTCTTAACCTTGTATTCCCTCCTTTTATAGTCATTCTCACTCAAAAAAACTTTTTAAAAAGAAAAAACCGCCGCAGGTGAAAGCGCAGACGGCCTTAAAACGGCCTTCAACCTGAGGGTATTGTCGGGGGGGGGGTACCTCTCTTCTCTTGTTTTTTAAGGCTGAATTGACGTTTTTCCGAATTTGCCTGGAGGCTGTTTGTGAGTAAGTTAAAAGAATGAGTAGTTTTAGGCTTAACTTGGTTTAATTTCAGTATGAGATTTAGGCTTCCCTAATCCTAGCCCAGAGCAGTAGCCCAGAGCCCTAGCCCAGAGCCCTAGACCAGAGCCCTATCCCAGAGGCTCAGCCCAGAGCTTTAAAAGTCATTATTTAAGCCTAAAAATTGTTTTAAACCTAAAAGCCATTATTTAAGCCTAAAAAGCGTTTTTAAGCCTATAAGTCATTATTTAGGCCTAAAAATTGTTTTAAGCCTAAAAGTCATTACTTAAGCCTAAAACTCATTATTTAAGCCTAAAAGACGTTTTTAAGCTTAAAACTCACTATTTATGCTAAAAAGCATTTCGTTTTTAAGCCCAAAAGTCATTATTTGAGCCTAAAAAGCGTTTTTCAGCCTAAATGTAATATTACAAGCCTAAAAATAACTTTTTAAATTTTTTTACCTTAACCCAGAGCCTTAGCCCTACACACAAACTCACAATGTTTATTCTCCATGCCTATAAGTGGATTATATTCTTGTGACTGTAAAACGATTTTCTCAAATTCTCAAAAAGAAAACCATATTATACTAGTCGAGAGTCATAGCCACTTTAAGAGAGAGGCAGAGGAGAAAGGCGGCCGCTGGCAAAAAGTTGCGCAGTGAAAGGAAGTACGAGTTCCGTGGATCAATAGCCCCGAGGTCAAATTTTGTTTTTTACGTTTTGAAATTTTGGAAGAGCCTACGGTAGGTAATAAGGCAAAATTAAGAGATTTTAAAGAGAATGGGGAGGGTAACGTTTATAAAGTGAGGGAGGGTGAAATTTGTAAAATGGGGGAGGGGGGATGTTGAAATTTTTAAATCGAGAGGGATGGGGGTGAAATTTTTAAAGCAGGAGGGGAAAGGGAATTTTTAAATTGAGGTTGTTGGGTGAAATTTTTAAAGCGAAAGAGGGTGGGGATAAAATTTTTAAAGTGAGGAGGGAGGGTTGAAGCTGGCGGGGTAGAGTTTTTTGATTACTGTAGTTTTGAAGCTATAAATGAGCATTATTAAGTTGTTCAAATAAGTTTGATCTACTTAACTCCGAGAATTTGCTTTTGAAAAGGGGCACAGAATTAATTGAACAACCTAATAATTTTTTTTTTGACTTTTGAAATTTGAATTTAATTGTAAATTTTTTAAAAAAATTAAAATTAAGTTAATCCAAATCGACTCCTCTTTATTGTTTTTGTAAAAATAGTCTTCGTTTTGTCGCATATCCGGTAAAAAAAGCAATTTAGGCCCGGCGGCGATCTTGCGACTGAATTTCATTAATCAGATGAAACTTTATAGTAAATATTTTTAGCTTTTGTCACCGGATTTTAAATTTTTTTCTAAAATACGATTTTTTAGAAGTTTTTACACGTTTTTTGTCAATTTGGTTTTAGGGCAGGGTATTAAAAAGGGGTGAAATAAGAGTTTGAAGTTTTTTGATCGAAAAGTTTAACTTGGTCCCCCCTGTGGAATTTTCATGCCAAAAATTTTTTTTAATTTTTTTAACAAATCAGGCTTTGCATACCGTCTTGATCTTCTATGCATACTCATATTTTTGTTTAACATTGCCTGTAGTCAAAAATTAAATTTTTTATTTATTTTATTTTTTGACATATTTTCGTAAAAAGTGAACAATTTTGAGCCAAGTCTTCAGCCTAAGGTCTTTGTCATTTTCTGCTGAACTTTGGTATCCTCCCCCCCCCCCCTCTTTCTTTCCATCGATGCCTTAAACTATCATTCAGTAAAACCTCTTTATTATAACACTTAATATTGCGACACCCTCGTTATAATGACAACTTACTCTACCGTTTTGACTTTTTCTATGTCTATAAGGATCATAAAGTCGCATGCACTATTGTCATTTTTTTAATACCGCATTCACTTTTGGCACTTTCTCCTCAAATCACATTCACTTTTCTGTATTCCTTCACATCTTAAACCGCATTCACTTTCCACTCCTAATAACTCAGTCACTCAAACCCCCTCCTTCTTTCCATCCCCCCCCTCATTACCTTCCCCCTCCCCTCTTGCGCCGACCCCGACCTCCGAGCAATCGCGCGCCCAAAAAAGCCCGAGAGGGATTGCCAAAAACAGAAACGATCAGCCCTTCGGAGCAACG